GCGGGGAACTCTGCAAAAAACGCATCTTCGCACGGGCAGCCCGTGCGTTGGCCAATTATTTTATTTTTTGGATTTGGTTTTTTGCAATAATTTTTGATAGTGTAGTGTGTTATTATCTTTTATTTACAGGTGGATGAAGCATACAATTTTTTGCTGAAACATCATTCGTCGATTTCTCCTTTGCTTACGCATTTTGAGATAAAAGTTAGCAGTGCCAGTGCACGTGGCATTTATTTGCGTGAACATTATCAGTCCTGTCGTGCTAGCACCTACGCTATCGGCGTTCAGCCCTTTTTTAAACCCGAATCAGGTTCCTTTTTATTATGCATTTTTTGCATCTTTTCAGCGCAGAAAAAGCATACTGATGAGGGTTTGCTTGCGTGTATGCGTCTGTTTGTTCGCCTGTACCGATTTTTCATCTCGAGACCTACAAAAGCCACAAGGCCGGAACTTTAAGAACTTAATCTACGTGCATGTACAGGTCCCCATACCCAAAATGGGCACTCTTACCCGCGTGATACCTACATACGGGCCCGCCAAAGTTTTTTACAGGCAAGCTCTAACTCAGCAACCAAAGAAACTGGAAGGCTGAAATTTTAAAGGGATGTTTCCTGACGGTCCTGGCGGCCAGTCTCAATTCTTTTAGCTATAAGCATCTGCCAGAAAAGTCAGTGCCGTTAGCGACAAAAATCTGCGGGGAACTATGCGAAAAACGCATCCTGGCACCGGCAGTCGGTGCGTTGACCAATTATTTATTTTACAGCAGGAGCCATGATGCTGCTATTGGGGATATCTATTGCTGACAGTTATTTGGTTGCATAAAAATGGAGTTATTTGATTGCATAGAGAATTAATTTTCTTTTTTTTTTGCAGATAACGACGCAAAAATAGAATTTGTGAAGCATTTGGTGCTAACTTGCGATGCGCCATATGTTAAGTGTGCGAAACAATTCACATTGATGCATCAGGAGCGAGAATTTACGATCTATTTGAATCCGGTTGGTTTGGAAGCAGGTGTAGCTCATTTTACTGAGGTCGGTTATTTTTTCCACCCAATTTTGTTGCCTCTAAGCAATCCATGGTGTAATAAGAAGGCTCGTCGTTGGATTTGGGCTCTCGAAAGACCGGTTTTTTGGTGTTTACAGTGCCACATTTCGCTCGGATAAACCTGGATGGATGGGTATAAAACTCTGAATAGTTATGCTGTTGAAGAAAGCTATTGAAAAATGAATTTGTGAACAATCTCGTCTGGGGAATTTGTAGAATAGAGGGGCTATAAAAGGCCCACCCAAAAATTGGACGGTCCAAATAGGGCCGCTGAAGAGGGTGAAATTGTCAAGTGGTTTTTTAAGGCCGTTGGTAAGCCGAATCATACCTGTTGAAATAGCGACTCGTATAGCCAAAGAAAAATTTCGGAACGGCAGAATTCCTCAAGTTTTAAGCGTGGAAAGGAGGAATTTGCTGAATTGTGATAGGAAAGAAGTTGGGTTGTTAATGTGGAACAAAACTTAACACATGTTGAAAGGTCAGGTTGGTCACGTGGAATAAGTGGGTTGATCCTGTCTGTGTTTCATCCCTTAGCTGTAAACAAATACAGTGTAAGGTGTGGTTAGGTGGTTGGGAATTATCACTACAGCCCCCTAACCACCACGTGAAAACGTAAATTACCAAGTATTTAAAAATAATAAAGTTGAAAAGAGTGGAAGAGAGGCAAAAAAAAAAGAGGAAAAAAAACTAACGTACAAAATATAATTGTCGTTTTTGCTGTGCGGAACATAACACAGTGCCTTCGATACGTATGAATTGTGGCGAAGGACCGAAAACATCGTTATGTGGGAGGGTTCAAAAAGGTTCCGGGCAAGCGGTAGGGCCGAACTGGGGATATGCAGCCTTGTATCGAAAGGTCTGGCATTGTTGCATCGGGCATGTTGGGGTAATTCCAGTGATACTTCCAATACTCCTATAGTCTGTCCTGCACTTTCAACTCGAGAACCACAAAAGCTAGGCGGCTGAAATTTTAGTATAGTGTTCCCCACCAACGTATTACGCGGCAAATTTAAATTCTGCCTTCCCGTACCCGCGGGTAACACGTACGGCCCTGTAGAAATTTTTCCGGGTAAAATTATTATCACGAGAACCACGTAAGCTAGAAGGTTGAATTTCCCCCTTGCCCATGCTCAACCTTGCCTAGTCAAATTCAGCGTTCCCGCGCTATTGAGTATCACCTACGGGCTAGTGAAAGTTTTTGCGGGCAAATTATTACCTCGGCAACCACAAAATCTAGGAAGCTGAAATTTTAGGGTAATGACCCCTGCACGCGCTCAACCTTGCCTAGTCGAATTCAGCGCTCCCGCGCTCTAGGGTATCACCTAAGGTCTCGTGAAAATTTTGGCGGGTAAACTATTAACTCGAGAATCACGGAAAGATATTCACCTTTCAAGGTTTCAAATTCAACTTTCATGCGCCGGTGTGTGAAATTTTTAACTATTTTTTAACGTTTCAGCTACTTTTGCTCAGACCAAAGTACAAAGCAGTGAAAATCATTAATAAGCAATAGTTCGATGAACTAAATTGCACAAAACGCATGACCACACCGGTTAGTCTGGTGCGCGTTGCTATTTATTTCTATAAAAAACAGTTTATTACATTTTAAAGTTATTCACTTTAGAGCCTGCATGGTCCCTTCTACCCTTTCTATTTCTATTTATTTGAGCATCAAATGCTTTATGCAGTTATTCATAAAATGCTTTAAACTAACTGAGTTTGTATTGTGTAGATTTGTGCATATGATTCGTCGAACATATCATTTGGTCCGTTATTTCGAATTCCAATCACTGTGATAGTACCGATGGTTCTGGATGATAATTCGCAATATATGATAACGAGGAAGCTGAAATGCAAGCCTGCCTGCTCGGAACGGCTCTTCGTGCATGTACCTGAATCAGCTGATTGGGCTTGTTAGTAATGTTTCTTTATTCTTAGCCTACAAAGTCGAGTCGCCTGAGTAGGCCCATCAACCGCAAGGCTTCTTGGGTTATGACCAGAGTCGGTGATCTCCCAAAATGGGAGATGTAAAGGCGAAGTTTTCGCCTTGCATCCGCGCTGTCTCCCCCTTTTTCCTTGCCTTCGTCCCTCCCAATCAAAATTATAAAGCGCAGAAATGAATAAGTGTTGAGTAATCCTTCGATGACATTCCAGCTGAACGTCGGGAAGCGACTTTCCCATCAGGGGAACCTATTTTCTGTTTTGTTCATTTCATGCTCTCCTACCCCTTCCCTCCCTCCGAACGCCCGCACTGTCCATTGCCATATCCTGTGACATATATTTTGGTTTTTTCGTAGTACTTTTGTTTATTATTATTATTATTATTGTTATTATTATTATTATCATCATTATCATTGTTATTATTTTTACTATTATTATCATTATCATCATTATTATTATTATTATTATTATTATTATTATTATTATTATTATCAACACTGGCATTGTTATTACGATTTATATTTTGTTCTTTGATGGTTCATTTGCAGGTTTGAGGCTAAAATCGCACGAGAGCCAACTCCAAACGAAATATCTCGTGCATAGTGTTCAAATGTTCCCGCACACTGCTTATCGTGCTAACGAATTCCACAAGGCAATGGTTTTTCAGTTTTTTCTCTTTCTTTTCGAGTGCTATGTTTATTCTTATCAAATTCCTGTTCAAAAGATGAAAAAATTCAAAATTTGTTGAGTTTAAAGTTTAAGTGCTGACTTTAATTCTTTCTTTTTTCAGCTGCTTTAGGCTGAAATTTGTTGAGAAAAGCCCCAGCTTTGGCCGAAAACTTAAAATTGAGATTGATGATCAATCAGCGATGGCTTAATGAGAATGTGAGGTTTTTTTGCAGACTGTGACACTGGATCCAAGCGCCGAAGAGCAATATGCAATCAAATTGCAAAGTGCCCGCACAATGGAGCTGTGTCTCACCAAATGGTGGTCAAATCTGGGTGAAGCAGTGCTGGAAGCTGAACTGGTCTTCCACGGTACTCTCCCTTCACCGACCAACATGAATATTGTACGTTTTTTTTTTTTTGGCTTTCCGAATAGGGACTTAATTCATGGGAGATTTTTTTAGTTTTCTGCTGTCAAGGATTTGTCATTTTTTTCTTCTTTTGGATGAAAGTGGTTTTTGTTTTTTATTAATTTTGCATTTCAACGGCTCAAAGAAAGTTATCTGTTTACTTTTTAAGTTAGATGCAGAGTTGGCATCATTTTTACTGAAATAGATGATCATCTCATAGCACCAGGTCAGGCCCGGATACATAGAATGTGGAAATTAGACGAGGATTGGGAAAAAAAGGGGGAGGAGGGTGGAAATTAAGAGAGAGCCGAAAGGAAGACTGGGGCAAGCCGTTTCGGTTCTTTAAGTCGTATACGTCTTAACTCAACACTGCAACTGGATCGCGTAAATCTCTGTGTATTTTGTTAAAACGAGCTTTTTCCAAAATGCATAATTGCGTAGCACAGTGCGAGGTAGCATTACAACTCGAGAGCAAAACTCTCTTGTGATAACCATCCCCTTTATCTTGCATCCGTTCGGTTCGATATGAATTTAGTACCAACGCATGCTCAGATGTAAATCCGCAATCATTTTACTTGTAAACAGCGCTCGAAAGAGGGAATTATCGATAGGGACGGTTGCCTTCGGCACTTGCTGCCAGTCAAGCTGCTTCCGTTTACATCTCATACGATTTGGATATAAGAAGGGATTTTGACAGATGCTTTTTAAGAACAGTCCTTCAGCACTGTTCTTTTTGTGGTCTTTTTTTGCATCTATGCAATGCAGAAAACACATATTGTCGTAGGGTCACCTGTGTGTGTGTTTGTATTTGTGTGCGTGTATGCGTATGTGTATGTATGTGTGTGTGCGTGTGTGTTTGTGTTTGTATATGTATGTGTGTGCGTGTGTGTGTGTGTGTGTGTGTGTGTGTGTGTGTGCGTATGTGTGTCAGCAGCAACATGTTTTTTCTAAACGTTGCATTATTGCATACTAAGTTTCGTTCTGTTCATTCGTTTTCTTCAACTTTTGCTCGTTGTTCTTTTTCCTTCACTTTGCTGAGAATTGATTGTTGTTTCAATAATTCAACCCTATTTGCC